AAGAAAAGTTTTCTTTCTTCACAATAATACAAAAGTATTCATTTATTGGATATCAGGTATCAAATATTATTGATATTATATATCAGCCCTTATGTCTTCTAGCCAGATTTACAACTCAATTTAATTCCAGATTTCTAGAATGTCTTTGTCCTTTCTCTAAATTATTTGAATATTTTTGTAAAATCTTAATTTGAACTACCCTATTATGGCTTCTTATAGGCCCCTTCGAATTTCTTGAGGAAGAATTACAAAAAATTTTTAAAGGAGAATAATATGAATGGCAAAGATATAAACACATGAAAATGTACTGATATCAAGTATAATGAAATCATTGCAACCTTAGACTACATTAAAGTAGCTTACATATTAATAAATTTTAAAACTTTACCATATACACATGAGAATGTGGGGAAAGGCCCTTGTGCATTACTGATGGGAACATACCTTGATGCATCCTCTTTGGATGGTATTGTGACCATTTCAAAGCTGTGAATACAGTTACCTTTGATTCAACAGTTCTTCATTGCAGCACTGTGTGAAATAGAAAAAAAAATAGAAATAACCTAAATGTTTGAATGTATGCATCTCTACTTTCCTTTTGCTTCTTCCCTCTTCCTTCATTTTCTGCTGGAGTTAGGCTTTGTAATTTGTTGTCTGAGACACCTGGGTAGAGAAGAAAAGTGAAAGGAGCCTTCAGAAGGCAGAGGCTTTTCAAGTCCTTGGAATGTATTCAGTGAAGGACATTAACTGTCCTGGACACAAGAGGGCAAAGGGAGAGCTTTGGAAATGGATCAAGGCCGAGTCCCCTCCCTCTGCACCTGCAGCGCTGTGAGGGGTGTGAAAGAGGGCTTTTCCTCAAGCCTGATGGCTGCTTTGTCCCCTGGTTTGCAAGACCAGCCCTCAGAGAGGATTCACAGTCATCAGGAGGATGTCCTGTTCCAAGTCTGGCACAAAAACAGCAGAAAATTCATAACCGGGAAAAGAACAGAGAAAATTCACCTTTAGTTAGTGATCAGATTTAGCTTTTCATCAGCCTGGTTGGAATTAAGTTGATTCAAAGGAAATAATTCATTTTTTAAATGCACTTGAGTTTTGTATTCTGGAGTGTACACACATTAGTTTGTATACTAGAACTCATTTTGTCTATATGCCTTAAAATGGAGGACTAGAGACTTAATTAAAGAAATTATTGAAACATCCCTAGAAAGAAATACTCTACCACTTGTAAAATCCATGTGGTATATCTACACTTGATCACAGGGAAAGTGTTCAGGGCCCCATGCTCAGTGAAAAAAGCAAGGTTTAAGACTTGATGAACATAACACATATACCTCTATATGCATTGATATGTTTGATATGCATAGAATATTTTTGGACTATATAAGAAACTTAACAGTGATGACTTGTTGAATGGAGCAGTGTGGCAGGAGATTGAATTTTTTTTTAAATGTGGTTGTTGTGAGATTATTTTTATAATATATTGATTATATTATAATATATATTATATATTATAATATATAATAAATCAGTTCATGTCTTTATTTTATAATTTTCTGAACTAGTTCATAATAAGAAGCAATATGAGAAAGTCATTTTTATATTCCCTTGAGTAGGCAAACATTTTAGCAATAACATGTATTTTTTATAAATACATTTTAAAATCATTATTTTATTTATAGTAGATATAGAGAAAGTTCACAAATTTTAAGTCAAGTAGATTATTATTTAGAATGTGCTTTACTTGAGCATTGGAAATATTTACATAAGTAACTATATACTTATGTGACCCTGTATAGATGAATAACATGACTTATTTAGGAATCACAACTGAGGAAAATAATGGTATAATAATTACAGACTTCATTTTATTGTACTTCTCTTTATTGTGCTTTGCAGATATTGCATTTTTTACAAGTTGAAGGTTTGTGGCACACCTGCATTGTCATAGGATGGTTAGCATTTTTTATCAGTACAGCATTTTTTTTTAAATTGGAGTGTAGTTGTTTTACAGTGTTGTGTTAGTTTCTACTGTATGGTGAAGTGAAGTGAAGCATTTTAATTAAGGTCTTTATATTAGTTTTTTTAGACATGATGCTATTGTACACTTAATAGACTGCAGTATAGTGTAAACATAACTTTTTAAATCATTTTTTTAATTCTTAATTTATTTTAATTTTTTTATTATTTTTGACTGCATTGGGTCTTCTTTGCTGCTCACGGGCTTTCTCTCGTTGTGGCGAGCAGGGGCTACTCTTCCTTGTGGTGTGCAGCCTTCTTATTGCAGTGGCTTCTCTTGTTGCAGAGCACAGGCTCTAGGTGCGCGGGCTTCAGTAGTTGCAGCACGCGGGCTCAGTAGTTGCAACACGCAGACCCTAGAGCATGTGGGCTTCAGTAGTTGTGGTGCGTGGGCTCAGTAGTTGTGGTTCATGGGCTCAGTAGTTGTGGCTCACGAGCTCTAGAGCACAGGCTCAGTAGTTGTGGCACACGGGCTTAGTTGCTCTGCGGCATATGGGATATTCCTGGCCCAGGGATCGAACCCGTGTCCCCTGCATTGGCAGGCAGATTCTCAACCACTGCACCACCAGGAAAATCCCTAAACATAACTTTTATATGCACTAAGAAACCAAAATATTTGTGTGACTCTCTTTATTATGGTGATCTGGAACCAAACCCACAATATCTCCTAGGTGTGCCTGTATATGATAATTAGTTGAAAGTATTTATTCTAATATGATCCTGTGGACCTTGTAGGCTGGATCTTCCTGCCCTCTGGTGGCCATTTCTCAAAATGCAGACAAAGTTGTGTTAAGATGACAGTTTAAACTGTTAATATAACACAGGTATATGAATCACGCTCCAAATTTTAGATATTTGATGAGCCTGAGAAATCATCTGACTCAAATTTCTCATTTTGATTTTACTACATAATCACAATATCTCGATTACATAGGCTTACTTCACATTACAGACATAAAGTTGAATTTTGGCATCTCTTGTCTATGTGACTTAGATATTAAATCATCCATAGCTATAGTAACTTCCTGTAAAATGTTTGCAACTATAGTATAATCTGAGGCCCTATAAATATCTCGTAAGGTATGCTTTTCTAATTAATTAATTAATTACTTTAAAATTAGTCTCTTTCCTACTGTTAGGAACTATATACTCTACCATTTGAATTTCACAGGTAAACACAGCAATGCTGAGGGTAGCCAAATTAACTTAGTAACTGGTAGACCCATAACTTGAAAACAGTCTGACTCCTGACTTTGTGTCTTCCTTTTCCTTTTTCTGTTTCAAATCTGTATAGTTAATTAAGAATAGATTTTAAATTATTTAATTAGAATAAGTTATTAGTGTATAGCTTGTGAAGTGTCATACAGCATATTTTAACATTCGTTTATCATATTTATCATGTGCTAATATATATGTCAGCCTCAAAGATCTGGGTTTTTCTATAAAGTCTAAGTACCAATATTCTATTTTGGATTGATGATGGTGGGGAGAATGGATTCAAGTGAGAATAAGACTAAAGGAAGAAACTAATGTTGCAGCAATGCAAGTATTTCATACAGTACTTAAAAGGATTTGAATTATTCTAAAAATAATTTTGGAGGCAAAATGCTTATTATTTTCCCTAATCGATTAAAATAGGATAAGGAAAGAGAAGTTTAGCAAATGGGTCCTGATTTTCTTGGTATCATAATCAATGGTATAATAAGTGGAACAGGAACCACAAGGGACTGGGCAATAGGAGAAAAAAATAAAATAATGCTATTGGAGCATATTAAACATAAATTGCTTACAGGACATCCAAATGGAACTAACCAGCAGACATAGGCAATGTGTCTGGAGACCAGGTAATATCATTCTATCATTGTCAGACATTTATTCCTCAGCTACCTTTCATTCTTTATTTACTAAAAATCTTTTAATAATAAACATATTACAAATAGTGACCAAGAAAGGATTTTCATTATCTAAAAATTGGGCTTCTCAAATTCTTAAGATTAGTGATACAGTACACATTAGTACTTTTTTTTTTTACCCACTATGTACTTTCCCATTCTTTTTAAAATCAAAGTTCTTTCACTTGGCCAGCCTGGAGAGGGTTGGATGTCGCTCCATCCCCGCCAGATGGGAGAGGCTGTGTGTTGCTCCATCAAAAAGAAGGCGGTGTGTTGCAGAGATGGAGATCGAAAGCACTTAGTAACTCCGAAGAATGAATTGGATTCTTAAGAACTGAAATTTGGGAGATTAATGTTGGGACAATGAAGAACTGGGTAAAGTAGAAGTAAAAATCAGAGCTGTGTACTCTTGGGTAGGATGCATTAGGAGTTGGGCACAGGAGCTTGGAAGCAAGTTGAAAACAATGGGAAGATTCTGGGCTGTGCAGTCTGGCATCAAGGCAATTCCTCGTGATCAAAGCAAACCCCAATAAGAGAAGTTCTCAAGATTGTCTCTCTGCCGGAGATTAGCTACTGTCTCTGCTAAGCCTCCTGAGTTACTCAGGCTAGAACATAAAGGCAGGATGCATCACACCTCTCATTAATGAACACATCACTACCCACCCCCTTCACCAAAGAATTACAGTATCTGCACTGGGTTGGTCCTTTATTCCTTTAACTTTACAGATGAGCAGACTGAGGCACTGAGAGAGGGAGAACCTGACCCCAGGTCCCCCAGTAAGTAGCACATGTGTCAGGACCAGAACCCGGCTTTCTGTCTTGTGGTCCAGTGCTCTTCCTCCTCCCTACTTGGTCCTGAAATAAAAAATATTTTATGGAACCCCTTGTTCCATAAATTCCATGTGGAAGGTGCTCACCCCAAAAGAGTTCAGGGAAACTCATTCAGATGCAAATACAACATATCTTAAGGTAGGCAACCCTTTTCAATTAAACAATACATTGGCATGCATGTAATTTCATTTCTCTCTCATTTTAACACAATGTGGTCATTACCAACAATGAAGTGGACTGAAGCAAGGCTTGTCTCCGTTTTTAGGTGCTCCTGGTCATGGAACGGAGGATGAACTCCACTGCGTTCTCAATGACCTCCTTGCCCACAAGGTTTAGGAATTCGGGGAACTCTGGCTCTGGTTTTTTGCCTGAGCCATCTGGCTTTCCCTCTGGCTTGTCACCTGAAAAACAGAACAGAATCTCTGGGATGATTCTCAGCTGGAGGAAAGGGAAGTTTCTTTCACTGCAGGGAGCCCTAGAGCCTTTTATACCCCCTCTCACTCATTCTATAGCTTCAGATAATTATCCTTATTGCACATTTACTGCCTGCCTGGTTAACGTCTTCACATGCATTATGTCATTTATTCCTAAAACCAAACAGACCAACAGATATTGCTACTTAGGTAGACATTGGTCCTCTTTCCAGATGAGAAAACTGAAGCTCACAGAGGTTAAGTAACTTGTTCAGAGTTAAACAGCTAGTAAGTGCCAGTGCCGGGGCTGAAATTCAGAATACCAGGTTTTAATGTATTTTTCTCATGTAATCCCTGGGCCTGTGGTCATGATAATAATGAGGATGATATAATCATAGGTAGCATTTATTGAGCACACACCTGTGACAGGCAATCTACATGCATTATCTCATTTTATTCTCACAGCAACCCTACGAGGGAGGCAAAATTATTATCCCAAGTTAAACGTAAAGAAACGGAAGTTGTGAGAGGTTTAGGAGCTGGTCAAAGTCACAGAGTTGATAAGTGACAGAAACAGAATTCAATCCCATGTCCGTCTGGTATTAAAGTCTGGATTTTTAAGCACTCTGTAATGAGCTACATTGTGTTTGACAGAAAAGTTATGATCTAACCACAAGTGTATTAAAAGATTGAAACTAGTATAATGATGATAAGGAGAAGTTCTGTCACCTGTATATCATCTGATAGTTCTGTAGATAATGATTTTACATCTACTGTGTAATTTCACACTTGACGAATCTTGTGGAGTATGCAGATTTTAGCTCACTGGACTAAGAAACTGGGAGGATAGGGCTTCCCTGGTGGCACAATGGTTGAGAGTCCGCCTGCCAATGCAGGGGACGCGGGTTCATGCCTCGGTCCAGGAAGATCCCTCATGCCGCGGAGCGGCTGGGCCCGTGAGCCATGGCCACTGAGCCTGCGCGTCCGGAGCCTGTGCTGCGCAACGGGAGAGGCCACAACAGTGAGAGGCCAGCGTACCGCAAAAAAAAAAAAAGAAAGAAACTGAGAAGATTAAGCAACTTGCAGAAGATCTCACAAATAGCAAGAGAAGATGGAACTGTAACTGCAGGTCTCTTACTCTTGACATTTAATCAAGTGCCCACATATATGGACATGATGCTCACGTAAAACTCAGGGCAACCACGGTGACCAGAATTGCTTTTCGTTACAGGAAGGGGAAAGAAGGAAAAGGCCTATATTGTGACGTTCAAGTACTGGGATGTGCGTTCATCACACGGCCTGATCCTTATTCAGTTCAGTGATAGGAGTACAGTTTTACAGGAAAGAAAACAGATGCTCAGAGGAATTAAATGACACACCTAAATCACAAATCTAGAAAGTGGCTGAGTCAGGGTTGGAACCTACATTTTTTTTTAAACTCCACAGAGCATGTTATTTATATGATATAATACTGCCTTCAAGCAATTGTCCCTGGAGACATTTACCAGGTGCAAGCCAGAGATTCCTTGCATGAAAAGTGAGTTCCTTTTTTCTGTGTTTCTATGTGCCTACTTGCATAACAATTTAATTTTATCAACTTTTTATTTTGTCATGACACTAAATGCTAACTTTTCAATATGAAAGGAGCCCTGGTTTGGAGTGTGTGTGAAGGTCGAATCCTTGGCCACAGCCCTTGGATCACACATATAATGAGAGGTATTAGAGTGTGGTGGGTCATGTTTTGGAGTCCTACATACCTGAGTTTGAATCGTGTCTTCAACAAAAAATTCACCATGTGACCTTGTAAACAATACTTAACTACTCTGTTTCCTCATTGTGTTATTGTCAAGATTAAAGGATACTTTATATATCTCTAATATATACCATATATGTATGTATATATATGCATATACATATATCTATATTATATAAACCACTTACCACTTAGGCTTACCAGGCCTAAGGTAAGCCCACAATAGATGCTCACTGTAGTATTATTAGTATTATTAATAATAATAGCAACAGAATGATTCATAGTAGCTTTCTTCTCTAGTGCTTAGAGATTATGAAAATTTTGAAATGCTGTTAAAATATTAAGAAATTTGAAACTGTTGAAAAAAATAATAAAAATTAAGAAATTTGGCATACCAGAAACAAATCATCAAAATCAATAGTTGAATGTTTTCTCCTTTCAAATATAATATGGGGTAGCCTTTATTTACATTAACTACCTGACTGAGTTTCTTAGTCAATCTAAACACAAAGTTCTGAAAAAATACAGTAATGCTGATATTTATACAGTTTTTATGGTTTACAAAGTGATTACAAAAGCATGTTCACTTGACCTGGTGAAGCTGATAGTTATCCCATTTTACAGATGAAGAAACTGAGGTTCAAGCTGTGAACTGATTTAACCACTTTCAGAGTTCATGAGAGACCGACCTGGGGCTGGTCTCTAGGATACAACACTCACCTTTCACTTTACCACAGTGATGGACACAGTAGTCTCTGAAGCCATCCCTGCAGTAACTCTGTGGGAGTGTCTGCCTGTGTGTCGTGCTGGTAGACAGTGGGTGGCCGAGGGTGTGAGTTCTGCCAAGTTACATTTAGAACGACTCAGAAGGCTCTCTTACTAAATATTTGCACTGTCTGGTTTTCTGACCTATCATTCTGAATGGAGACGAGTTAAGAGCTCACCACTTCTGCAGAGCAAAAATTAATTAATGGGAATTCTGCAGGCTGCCTTGTGGTCCTCTATGTGCTTAAAACAGACATGAAAGATGTAGATGCTTTATAACAGAAGGAATTGAAGGACTTAGGTTTCAGCCCCAGGTGTGCCACATCTACCTGTGTCCATGCTCAAGTAACTTTGCCTCTGCAAGATCAATTTATTTACCTGCAAAAGGGAAATGATAATCTGCCTGTTTACTTAAAAGATTATGAGAACTGGATGAGATAATACATGATAACAATAACAGTTAATATTTACGGGGTGCTTATTATGGACCAGATACTTTTCCAATATGTTTTGTCTCTTTAATTTTCGTGACAACTAAATGAGAAAGTTAACTATTGATATTCCCTTTAAGTGTAAGGCCCATAGGCATTAAATAGCATGTCTGAAGTTATATTTCTTTTTTTTTATTGAAGTATAGTTGATTTACAATGTCTTGTTAGTTTCTGGTATACAACAAAATGATTCAATTATATATATACATATATATGTGTACATATATACACATATATATTCTTTTTCATGATGGTTTATTACAGGATATTGAATATAGCTCTCTGTGCTATACAGTAGGACCTAGTTGTTTATTTTATATATAGTAGTTTGTATCTGCTAATCCCAAACTCCTAATTTATCCTCCCCCACCCCTTTCCCCTTTGGTAACCATAAGTTTGTTTTTCATGACTGTCTGTTTCTGTTTTGTAAAAAAGTTAATTTGTGGGCTTCCCTGGTGGTGCAGTGGTTGAGAGTCCGCCTGCCGGTGCAGGGGACGCGGGTTCGTGCCCCGGTCTGGGAGGATCCCACGTGCCGCGGAGCGGCTGGGCCCGTGAGCCATGGCCGCTGGGCCTGCGCGTCCGGAGCCTGTGCTCCGCAACGGGAGAGGCCACAACAGTGAGAGGCCCACGTACTGCAAAAAAAAAAAAAAAAGTTAATTTGTATCATATTTTAGATTCCACATATAAGTGATATCATATATTTGTCTTTTTCTTTCTGACTTACTTCACTTAGTATGTTAATCTCTAGGTCCATCCATGCTGCTGCAAATGGCATTATTTCATTCCTTTTATGGCTTAGTAGTATTCCACTGTATATATGTACCACATCTTCTTTATCCATTCATCTTTCAATGAACATTTAGGTTGTTTCCATGTCTTGGCTATTGTGAATAGTGCTGCTATGAACATAGGAGTGCATGTATCTTTTTTTTTTTTTTCAGTACGCGGGCCTCTCACTGTTGTGGCCTCTCCCGTTGCGGAGCACAGGCTCCGGACGCGCAGGCCCAGCGGCCATGGCTCACGGGCCCAGCTGCTCCATGGCATGTGGGATCTTCCCGGACCAGGGCACGAACCTGTGTCCCCTGCATCGGCAGGTGGACTCTCAACCACTGCGCCACCAGGGAAGCCCTGCATGTATCTTTCTGAATTATAGTTTTGTCTGGATATATGCCCAGGAGTGGGATTGCAGGATCATATGGCAATGTTTTTTTCATTTTTTTAAGGAAACTCCATACTGTTCTCCATAGTGGCTGCACCAATTTACATTCCCACCAGCAATGAAGGAGGGTTCCCTCCACACCCTCTCCAGCATTTGTTATTTGTAGACTTTTTAAAGGCAGCCATTCTGACCAGTGTGAAGTGATACCTTATTGTAGTTTTGATTTTCATTTCTCTAACAATTAGTGAAGTTGGGCATCTTTGCATGTGCTTATTGGCCATCTCTATGTCTTCTTTGGAGAAATGTCTTTTTAGATCTTCTGCTCATCTTTTGATTGGGTTATTTGTTTTTTTGTTATTGAGTTGTACAAACTGTTCGTATATTTTGGAAATTAAGCCTTTGTCAGTTACATCATTCACAAATATTTTCTCACAGTCCATAGGTTACCTTTTTTTGGTTTATTGTTTCCTTTTCTGTGCAAAAGCTTATAAATTTGATTAAGTCCCATTTGTTTATTTTTGCTTTTGTTTCTATTGCCTTGGGAGACTGACCTAAGAAAACATGGCTATGATTTATGTCAGAGAATGTTTTACCTCTTTTCTTCCAGGAGTTTTATGGGGTCATGTCTTATGTCTAAGTCTTTAAGCCATTTTGAGTTTATTTTTGTGTATGGTGTGAAGGTGTGTTCTAACTTCATTGATTTCCTCGTGGCTGTCCAGCTTTCCCCACGCCACTTGCTGAAGAGACTGTCTTTTCTCCATTGCATATTCTTGCCTCCTTTGTCGAAGATTAATTGACCATAGGTGTGTGGGTTTATTTCTGGGGTCTCTATTCTGTTCCACTGATCCATATGTCTGTTTTTGTGCCAGTACCATGCTGTTTTGATTACTGTAGCTTTGCAGTATTGTGTGAAGTCTGGGAGGGTTATGCCTCCAGCTTTGTTCTTTTACCTCAGGATTGCTTTGGCAATTCTGGGTCTTTTGTTGTTCCATATAAATTTTAAGATTATTTGCTCTAGTTCTGTGAAAAATGTTACGGATAATTTGATGGGGATCGCATTAAATCTGTAGATTGCTTTGGGAAGTATGGCCATTTTAACAGTATGAATTCTTCCAATCCAAAAGCATGGGATATCTTTCCATTTCTTTAAGTCATCTTCAATTTTCTTTATCAGTGTTTTATAGTTCTTAGCATATAGGTCTTTCACCTCCTTGGACAGGTTTATTCCTAAGTATTTTTTTAATGCAATTTTACAAGGGATTGTTTTTTACTTTCCCTTTCTGATATTTCATTGTTAGTGTAAAGAAATGCAACAGATTTCTTTCTATATGTTAATCTTGTATCCTGCTACTTTGCTGAATTCATTTATCAGTTCTAGTAATTTTTGTATTGAGTCTTTAGGGATTTCTATGTATAGTATTACTTCATCTGCATATAATGACAATTTTACCTCTTCCCTTCCAATCTGGATACCTTTTATTTCTTTTTCTTCTTTTTTTTTTTAAAGTTTTTTTTTTTTCTGATATTCCCCCAGCCACTCCTTCTTCCTTTTGGTTACTCTTTGCATGGAATATCTTTTTCTATCCTTTCACTTTCAGCCTGTTTATGTCTTTGGATCTCAAGTAAGTCTTCCCGGACCGGGGCACGAACCCGCGTCCCCTGCATCGGCAGGCGGACTCTCCACCACTGCGCCACCAGGGAAGCCCCTCTTTTTCTTCTTTGATTGCTGTGGCTAGTACTTCCAAAACTATGTTGAATAGAAGTGGTGAGAGTGGGCATCCTTGTCTTGTTCCAGATTTTAGCAGGAAGTCTTTCAGCTTTTCACCATTGAGTATTGTGTTGGCTCTGGGTTTGTCATAAATGGCTTTTATTTTGTTGAGATATGTTCTCTCTGCACCCACTTTGGTAAGAGTTTTTGTCATGAAAGGATGTTCAATTTTATCAAGTGCTCTTTCTGTATTTATTGAGATGATCATGTGGGGTTTTTTTGTTTTTTGTTTTTTGTTTTTTTTTGCGGTATGCGGGCCTCTCACTGTTGTGGCCTCTCCCACTGCGGAGCACAGGCTCCGGACGCACAGGCTCAGCGGCCATGGCTCACAGGCCCAGCTGCTCCGTGGCATGTGGGATCTTCCCGGACCAGGGCACGAACCCGTGTCCCCTGCATCGGCAGGCGGACTCTCAACCACTGCGCCACCAGGGAAGCCCGATCATGTGGTTTTTGTTTTTTCTTTTGTTGATGTGGTGTATCACATTGATTGATTTGCATATGTTGAACCATCCTTGTGACCCTGGGATGAATGCAACTTGATCGTGGTGTATGATCATTTTTATGTTTTGGATTTGGTTTGCTAATATCTTGTTGAGAATTTTTGCATCTATCCTTGTTTTATATAAGGACATTCAAGCTTGGAGAAGTTAAGTAATTTGCCTAGCATTACAAGTCGTGAATGAGCCAGAGCAAGGAATTGAACTCAAGGACATGTGACTTCAAACTTTGGGGTCGTAACTATTACATTATTTTGCTCAGTGCTGCTGCTGGTAAAAAGCCTGGGTCAAGCAAGGACCCTGTAGTCACCAGCCTGTTTTTGCACAGATTCATCTGTGTCTGCTCTGCTTTACCCACTGACCCATATCAGTCACCTCTGTTTGAGCTCAGTTTGATATATCAAAGGTACAGGGTACAGAGTGCCTTCTTAATCCTTGGCAGAAAGTGAGCTAGAGACAGGGCTGCAGAATTAAACACAGGATGGGATGCCTCATGACATTTGAATTTCAGATAAACAGTGAGTAATTTTTTTTAGCCTAAGTATGTCCTCAATATTTCACAGGACATACTTCATGAAAATAAATTTTGTTGTTTAACTGAAATTTAAATTTAAATGGCATCCTGC